CACACACACACACACACACACACACACTCACACTCACACACAAACACACACACACACACTCACTCTCTCACTCACACACGCACACACGAGCGTGACCTCTGTCACACTGAGCTCAGTAGAAGCTGCTGTCATGTGATCAGTTTATCTGGCTAATGGTTTGGACAGCTTGATCTCTTCTGAACACTGTACGTCTGTTTTCATGATGCGACGCTGACATGGGCGGAAACGACCATTAATCAGACGCTGGCGCTGGACACGGAGAATATATTTCTCTTTTCAGAGCTTCATAAATCCAGCAGAGACTGTAAAAGCAAGGGTTCAGCGAACAGGTGCAGAAAGACGGGAGGAAAAGAGTTTGGAGCCGGTGAGCCTGTGGGAGGTACAGACACAAACACCCATAATCCCTTGCTGAAGTCAGAGCCCGCGGTCACTCAGCATCTGACCTTCTGTCAAACCCTGTCCAGCTCTCCAGAACATCGGCCAATTCACAATCAATCTATTGCTAATCAAAACTAGCCCAATCGTGTTTTTTCCACGGTTATCCCCTCCGTCGAAATAGCGCTTTAACCCTCAGACTTAAAAAACAACCCCCGGCAACATTGTAAAAGTAGCTAAATTCCGCGGTAAAACCATGGACTTGGCAACCCTGTTTGTCAGTAAATGAATAAAGATCAAAATCAGAGAGATAAAAAAAAAAAAATCAAATTTAATTATGAAACGCTATAACATGTCCATTTTATCGAACCAAAATACAAATCTTGGTAATGACTTTCAAACTATAACGACACACAAGAACAATATAATTGGAATCACAACAATACAAAGAATGTTTTGTTCTGATTCTTTGTATGAACGTTCGTTTATAATAAACCGAACGTTAACGTGCATTTTTGTGGACGCTAATATTATAGTTAATAATGTTAGTAATTATAGTTACATTTACATTTACATTTAGACATTTAGCAGACGCTTTTATCCAAAGTGACTTACAAATGAGGACAATGGAAGCAATCAAAATCAACAAAAGAGCAATGATATGCAAGTGCTATAACAACTCTCAGTTAGCTTAACGCAGTACACGTAGCAAGTTTTTTTTTACATCATATAATAAATGAAAAGAAAACAGATAGAATAGAAAAAGAATAGAGCAAGCTAGTGTTAGAGGCCTTTTTTGCTTTTGTTAACTGTATAATAAATGAAAAGGAAACAAATAGATAGAATACAAAAAGATTAGAGAAGCAAGTGTTAGTTTTTTGTTTGTTTTGTTTTTTAAGAAAACAAGCAGTTAGTAAATAAATAGAGTGTAAAAAGTTTTTTTTTAAATAAAGAATAGAATTAGAATAGAGAGTGCTATAGTTAGAGGGTCAAATAAAGATGGAAGAGATGTGTTTTTAGCCGATTCTTGAAGATGGACTCAGCTGCTCGGATTGATTTATTGTTTTAGTTATCGTTATAGTTATCTTTGTATTTATTGTTTTCATTATCATTATGTAAAAGTTTTAATTATAACATGTCTATTTTGTTTGACCAAAATCCTTTCAGACACAAAATACAAATGATGATAATGACTTTCAAACTATATTGATAACAACACAGAGGAATGATATACAGTATATGGAAGCCCATTTCTGCCACTGAATAAAAAAATTAAAAAGCTAATTGTGACTTTTTATCTTACAATTATGACTTTTTTCTCAGAATTGCCAGTTTATATCAAGCCATTTTAGTCTTGATAACTTGCAATTGCGAGTTTATATCCTGAAATTCGTAGAAAAAAATCAGAATTGCGAGCAAAAAGTCAGAATTGTGGGATACAAAAAAATCGCAATTACCTTTTCAATTTTTTTTATTCAGTGTTGTAAACAGGGTTCCACATAGTTATTGTCATATTCATCATTATAACGTGAATTTTATCTGACCAAAATCTCTTCAGACACAAAACACAGACGATGGTAATGACTTTCAGACGTGTAAGTAGGACTTTCCCAGGAGGACCTGAAGGAAGCATCAGACATGAATCCAGGTCATTTGGTTCCCAGAGTCTCTCTCTCTCTCTCTCTCTCTCTGTCTCTCCCTTCCTCTCAAACAATGCTGAGAAATGTCTTTGGAGGAACGGAGCTCCTATTCCGTATGAGCTGTCAAAGCAAAAAGTCTTTTCACCAATAGTTTTTCCACCTGTATTTGGGCTGTGTGTATGTGAAGAACACTGCTGTGTGCTCCCCAGTGATAGAATGCCACTCACAGGTCTGTGTTCCTCAGTGCATCCGGCCTGTTTGGCACCCGGAGAAACACCAAAACACGGATTTCAGCATTCCTAAGATTCCCTTCAGACCCGCCGCTGCCGACAGCTGATGATTTTTAGTGTTCGTATGAAGTCACTTCTGCTTGCAGATGGAGATTATGGTGAAGACGGGAGAATATCTGAGCAGACACACATCAGGGGTTTCTGCATGTAAACGTCATCCATCATCACACGGATATTCTGATTCTGCTGGACGCATGACGGCCCGAAACACCAAACCTCTAGAGTTTCAGCCTGACGGATCAGCGTCTCCTGTGATATAGAATATCCTCTCTACTGTAAGAGCTCTTTGAAGCGACCCGGCGGCTCCAGTTCGTGGTTCACCAGCGAGAATGAAGCTGGCAGCGGGACTGACCCGACGGCTACGGTTACAGCGGCCTGGGATATTTTACACTGCATAATGGGAGAATTCAAACAAAAGCACCCTCACACGCAGCAGAACACACACTTCTGAGCAGAACCAATGACCTCGAGTTATGCCGTCTGAATTTATTGATATTTCGAGCCCTTGACTGAACCAGCACAATTATTACACTGCAAAAAAAACTTGTTTTCCAGTACAAATATCCAAGCATTATTAATCCAAGATACATTAACTTGAGAAGAAAAATCAAGTGAATTTATGCTTAAAACAAGAAAAAAATATCATAAAACATGTTTCCCTTTGAATTAAGATGATCTGTTTGCCTTTTTCTAGAGCCACAGTCAGATTTGAGATACTATTACCAGTTTTTATTAATATTTTGAATCAGTTATATATATATATATTAGTGCTGTCAAACTATTAATCGCGATTAATCACATCCAAAATAAAAGTTTTTGTTCACATAATATATGTGTGTACTGTGTATATTTATTATGTATATATAAATACACACACATGCATCTACATATTTAAGAAAAATATGTTACGTTTATATATTAAATATATTTATATATGATATAATTTATATGAATATAAATATATACACGTTAATACATGTAAATATTTTTTAAATATATGCTGTATGTGTGTGTCTTTATCTATACATAATAAATATACACAGTATACACACATATATTATGTAAACAAAAACTTTTATTTTGGATGTGATTAATCTTTTGACAGCACTAATATTTATATATATATATATATACGGTATACACACACACACACACACACACACACACACACACACAGCAG